TGTCATGACAACTCTCTGAGGGATTGGCATGGTAATGTACATGACAATGTTAATGTATTTGGTCTTGGCGGAATAGATCTGCTACGCTGCTGCTGCGGCAGAGCAAGTACAGAGACTTGCTACTGCCAATACATCCACAACACACTGTTTAATGCCAGAACTCTGTATTTATGTCTTTTTTATTGTGATGTGATCTCAAATGTTGTTTATTATTGTTTCATCACCTTAAAATCATTTTAAACATTTTGTGGAATGTATTTTTTTTAATAAATTATACTTGTTTTGATATACTGTATAGTTAAATAATGCAATGACATTTCATTTAAGTGATTTAAACTTCCATTCAAAAGTTTGAGGTCAGTAAGATTTTATTTTTTAACCAATTAATATTTCTATTCAGGAGGGATGCAATGTATAGATCAAAAATTACAGTAAAGACTTTAATGTTGCAAATGATTTATGTTTTAAATAAATACTGTTCGTTTGAACTTTTTATTCATTAAAGAATTGTCACAGTTTCCACAAAAATATTAAGCAGCAAAACCGTTTTCAACATTGGTAATAATCAGAAATGTTTCTTGAGCATCAAATCAGCATATTAGAATGATTTCTGGATCATGTGACACTGAAGACTGGAGTAATGATGCTGAAAATTCAGCTTTGACATCACAGGAATAAATAACATTTTAAAATATATTCAAATTAAAAAAACATTATAAATTGTAATAATTTTTCACAATATTAATGTTTTTACTGTACTTTTGACCAAATAAATGCAGCCTTGAACAGCCAAAAACACTAAAAATCCCCAAACCCCAAATTTGTGAACAGTAATGTGTCCAAAATCTTACTAGTATTTTGGGTGTATACTTACATTATTCCAGTCATTTAAAAATAATGAACTGAATCTTTCTTATCTGAATAAAAACACATCAGTTTAGCTTAAATAAGCTTCATCATGGAGGTCCGTATCTTACCGTTCCCTCTGAACTTGCTGAGGTTAACTAGCCGAGGTCTCTGTGGTTTGGCGGGACACTTTCCTAAAACAAACAAACTGAGAAGAGGCTTCTTTTTCGGCACTGACAAATCACCAGTAGTGGTTTCCGGTGCTGTAGAGATCTTTTCATGAAGAAGGGGTTTCTGTTTGGCAGGACTCTGGGATCCAGCTCCAGTGGGGGCTTGTGTATAAGCATTCTCCTTTATCCCTCTATTGGGCAGCTTCCCTCCAACAGCATCACTTCTTGAGTCACTATTGGCCTTGTTGTTAGAAACTGGAGGATTGAATCTAGTCTCCATAGAGTTAACCGTGAAGTTGGGTTTGACCATGAGAGGTTTAGGCAAAGGCTTGGAGCCTGCACCTTTATTCATGTCCACAGGTTTGAGTTTCGCCGTCTTGGGGATCAACACTGGATTCCTGGCGCTGCCGAATTGATTGTTCCGAGCAGGTTCGGAAAACGGACTTTCACCAGCCAGTGAATTAAAATGAGACATCAGGGATTGTACATTAGTGAAATTGGCCTAAAAATGTCAAACATAAATATTAGTAACACTTTACAATAAGGTCTCATTGCTAACACCAGTTAATTAATGAACTAACTGAGCAATATAGTTTTACAGCATCATTAACCTTTGTTAAAGGGGTCATATGATGCGATTTCAAGTTTTCCTTTCTCTTTGGAGTGTTACAAGCTGTTCGTGAATAGATAAGATCCCTAAAGTTGCAAAGACTAAAGTCTCAAACCCAAAGAGATATTCTTTATAAAATTTAAGACTCGTCCACGCCCTCCTAAAACGCCTCGTTTAAACACCCCCCCACATGTTTACGTCACTGAGTGGGAAGATTTGCATAACACCGCCCAAATGTTTACACAAAGAAAGAAGGCGTAACAACTAGTATCGTTGCCACCGCCGCCATGTCGTGGAGACGCTGTGTGTTTCGTTGTGAAAGCAAAACTACTTTGTTTGGTCTTCCAAAAGAGGACACAACTAGAAATCAGTGGTTAAGTTGTATTTACAACACTGTTCCAGAACAGTTCAAACCAAATATTCAGATGTGTGCAACGCATTTTACGGAGGACGAGGACTGTTTCCTGGGAGAGTAGCCTACAATGCCGGTGTTCCGGTGAATTCAGTTCCCCTGTTTCCCCTTCGGCGCGCATGCTGACCCTAGACAGTCTATGATGCTGACAAATAATGCTGTGTGGAAATTAATGTTTTTTTTTAACCTTAAACCGCATAAACACATTTCATTACACCAAATACACAAAATAATGTTATTTTTTAGCAACGTCATATGACCCCTTTAATGTTAACGAAAATACAATCGTACCGTGTTCATGTTAGTTCACGGTGAATGAACTAATGGTAACGGATACAATTTTGGTTTTAAATATGCCGAAAAGGATTTAGTGTAGAAACAATTTTAACTCAGAAATCGCTAGTAAATTTCACAAATAATTACGAGGAAATGGCAAGTAACACTTTGAATTAAACACAACATTTTAAAGTAGAAAGACTGCAATATTTTTCTAGTAAAATGTACTCTAATAATCATTGTTTTATTTACAACTTTCAAAATTATAAATTAATCCTTTAACACTAGGTACTACATAACTTAGTAACTCATCCCACGTTTGAAGCCACATGTCAATGACAAATCAATGTCAAATCATGTGTCTTGTGGAGGAGACATATGCTATGACTTAAATATGCAATTAGACTTGTAGGGTGGGCAATAAAATGGAGCAAAATAATCACATAAACTTACAGTAATTGAGGGGCCTATGGAAACCTGATTCTGTTTCAAAACAAACTATAATTTTAGGTAAAACAAAAAAAGTAATTTTGAGATTAGTTTAAAATAAAATTGCAATTGTGATATAGTCAAAACAGTGTACTAAAAAAAATCACAATTACAAGAAAAAAAAAGAAAAAGTCTCAGTTGTAAGAAGACCATGACCAGTTGCATAAACTGCAGACAGTAATTCTTAAAAAAACGACCCTTTTTTTTAGTGTGAAGAACATTCAAAAAATGTAAAGAACCTTTTTCCTATATACTGAACCTTTTGTGAAATGTAAAGGTTCCATGGATGTTAAAAGTTCTTCATGGAACTTCCAAAGATGACAATAAAGAACTTTTATTTTTAAGAGTGTAGCCACTCTGAACACAACCAAACACAAAATCCTAGCACTGTGATAGCAAGTTTTGCACAGTCAACACAAAATATAAAAAAATTACTATATTTATTAAATACAATCACTAATATTATAATTAATGCAACAATATACAAACCCCTCTTAAGCAGGCTACTGATAAAAACATGTTGGATATTTTAAAAAGCTGTGAAACTGTGTATGTTCACACCTTTAGGGTTCTGCCTTTACACTAGTCACTCTTTACGTTCACAAGCGTGAAAAACACTGAGAATTTTTATACTGCCATCTGCTTCTTCAAAATGCAGCTATATGATCGATATTATATTGCATTCTTATCAATCCTAATAAGAAAATCCACAAGCATCACATCACTATTCCTATCATTGCATCTGCTAACTCAAGTACAATCAAGATAATCAAGAACTAAATCATCAACAGCAAACTGAAAAATCATAATAAAAGACACTCATTTAAATAAATCAGCAAAATTTGCCTGCAAACTCACCCAGCCAGCACATACATGTGCGTGCAAGAGTACAGTGACCAGTGACAGTGGTGAGAATCACAAATACACCCAGAGGAAATGCATGTTTGCATTACTTTAATAAGGAAGAGGTGTAACCAGGGTTTCACTATTGAGCATCACGACCCTGATCTGGGGTCAGGTTTAACATCAGCTCAAAACCACTCTTATTCTTTGGACTTTCAGAGCGAGAAACAACACAAACTCTGCTCAGGTGGTCAAATGCCATGAATAATAATAATATCTGTGGCGTTTAGTTGAGCAGCATATGAAGGTCAATTTTCTAATTCAGAACGCCACAAAAGTTTCACCAATAGCAATGTTAAAGCAAACGAACAGACTCACCATAATGATGATGGCATGCGCTGGAACTACTATCACTAGGTTATTAGTCTGTCTGTGGAGTCTTTTCAAGGAGTGCGGTTGAAAGAATTGGAAAACTGATGACTAAAACTTTCACCACAACTTTTTTCTTCCTCCTAAATGGCATAAATGTTTGAGCAAAACACATTTATTTGAATCAATGAGTGAAAAATAATCTGATATGACTTTGCATTGTATGTTGTTAAACAAAATGCCATTTAACTGTGATAAGAAAGAAGGAAGACATATGTGTGTTTGTATGAAAGCCAGTCATAATGGAAACAAGGACAATTAACCACTGACCTTAAGGGGTGAATCTTTCAAAAATATAGGCTTTTACCGCAAAATCAAAAGAATATTACAAAATATAAATCATATTATAAAATTATTCTATAAATTAGATTATAATTATACATTATATTACTATATCATTATAAATCATATTTTGCTAGTAAATTAAGCCTGCTCTTTCCAATTTATTTTACAATTATTCTCAAAAGTGATAAAGGCAGCACAAAAATACTACCATTATGTGTA